CACTTTTATTTCTAGCTTTACTGATATAATTGACATGCTGGTGTGATACACTTGTATCTTACAAAATGATCACCACCATAGTGTTAGCTAACATCTAAATCAAGTCACATAATTACCAATTCTTTTTTGTAGTGAGAACATTTAAGATCTAAGCCCTTAGCAACTTTCAAGTATATAATACAGTACTATTAACTATAATCACAATGCTATACATTAGATTCCCAGAACTTACTCATCTTACAGATGGAAGTCTGTACTCTTTGATCAACATCCCCTTTTCCCCAACCCACCCAGACCCTGGTAACCACCATTCTAGCCTCTGTTTCAATGACTTAGGCTTTTTTAGATTCCACATATAAGTAATATCATACAGTATTTGTCTTTGTCTGACTTACTTCACTTAACATAATGCTCTCAAGGTCCATCTATGTTGTTGCAAATGGCAAAATGTCCTTCCTTCTCATGGCAGAATAATAGTCCATTGTGTATATATACACATCTTTATCCATCCATCCACTGACAGATACTTAAATTGTTTCCATATCTTGGCTATTGTGAATAACATGAACTACTTTTCTAATATAATTTGGACTGTGTGTAAAAAATAGTATTTAATTCACTTGTACTTATATAACACTTTTTAAAGAAGTTTTTCTGATGAACTGTAATTTATCATACCATATTTTTAAAATTACATGTCTACACTTAAAAGTCTTCCAATTATTGAACTTTTAAAAAATTCTGTGCTACACATAGGACAGATATCCTGAATTCATTAATTTTAAAAATATGTATTAAGCATATGTTTTGTACAAAGCATTATAAATAATACAAAATAAGATCATTTCTGCCCTCCAGTTATAATCTAGTAGGAGAAATAAAATGTGTGGCAAACTTCAATATAAACAGAGTTTATTAAAAAAATGCACACTTCTGGTTATGGTAAATAAATAATGACTCATATAGAAAGCAGAATTTCAACAGAAGCAAAAGATGAATAATATTCTGATAGGCAGCGATGGGGCAAGAGAGCATTCCAAGAGGGGAGTGTCTCATATCAAACTAAAGAGTTTGAACTTCATTCTTTAACCAGTGCTGAACCCTAATAGACGCCCAAGCAGTGGTTTATAAGGAAGGCAATTAACAGTATAGATTTGAAAGGGTGAGAAAGGGGAGAGTTGGGAAAACATAGGTACATACATATTAAATGTCCTTCTTAAGGTCACACAGTTAACCAGATACCTGATCCTACAACTTGCTTCTTTGAACACCTATCTCACTGTATTCTATTATTAGCATACACCAACAAGAACAAGATTCTATTCAGAGTTACTCAAAGATACATAATTTATTTCATAAGCTGTCTTTATTAGCAATCTTCACAGTGAATAACTCACAAAATTTTCATTTATCATATTAACACACTAACATGTTCGAATAAAATGTTTTGCTACATAGAATAAGCCCCTTCATCTATTTCATGTATGGTCCATTTATGCTTTCTACTACAAAATACAGCTGAGGCTAATTTACATACTTGAAATAATCAATGACTTGAAAGTTGAGGTAAGACTAATTTAGAATTACAGCATTCTAAGGTATCATTTTGTGATTCACATTCACATATGTAGACTTCCATATTAGTTAATAGTATATTATAGGAATGATTCTAGTCTCTCTGGTATAGTACAAAACACAATTCATTTCACAAAACAACCATGTCAATCATAAATCATAATATATTTTAATAACAGCTTCATCCTCAAAGCTGAAACTAGTCCTTTTTATAATACCCTTGGCAGAAATACATCATCAATTGTTCCATGAATAGTCACACCTCTACCACTCCAATTTGACATATACATGCCAAATCTTTTTTGAGCACCCTTTTTTGGGGTTCCAAAATATCTAAATAATTCCTGTTGTAAACTAGAGTAGTTTTTAGAACTCCTAAGTAGAATCACTAAGTAGTGAAATCAAATTTACATAAAGTTACACTGGAAACAAGCTATACCCTCACACTAAAAATGAAATTTAAAAAAAGCAAAGTTTCTACTGAAACTCTACACTGTATTTCTCAAATTTGGAGTCTGGAAGAGTTTTGAAGAGAAATGACTCTATAACACTGGGACTCCATTAGATACTTAGGCTATATAATAGTAGCTATAAGTAATACGTAAAAGTTCACTAGAAGACCCATGAAAGTACAGAAGTTATTCTTAGAGATTTCACTTTAACATTTCCATAGTTTAATGACTAACCAGCTTAGACTAATAAATACACATTGCTTTTAAAAAATATATATATACCCCTCTTAAGTGAGTTTAACTTACTAAGAGAGACCCAAAATTTGAAGTAAGCAAATTGTGTTGTATTTTATCTCTCTGTCTCTCCCTGTCTCCAAAAGTCCTCAAGCAGCTTTTAAGACCTCAACTACTCCATAAAACCCTTTAGATCTTCAAAATTCACTTTATTCTGCCCTGGCTAGTTTGGCTCAGCGGTTTGAACATCGGCTTGCAGACTGGAGAGTCCCGGGTTCGGTTCCCACTAAGGGCACATACCTTGGTTGTGGTTCATCCCCGGCCCTGGTTGGGGTCGTGTGGGTGGCAATCACTCACATCGATGTTTCTCTCTCTCTCCCTCCCCCCACTCTCCCTCCCTCTCTATCTGAAGACAAATGCAAAAATGTCCTCGGGTGAGAATTAAAAAAAACAAACACTTTATTCTATAAAATTACTTGCATATACAACCTCTCCAAAATCAAGGCTTTCATGTTCTCACGCAATTGAGCCACTGACAGCTCCTCAATTTAGCCAGCGGTGTTTTCATATTTAAAAGAAGTTTGTTAACCCAAATTTATTTTTACTTAGATAGTTTCAGTACGTTTGGAAATTTAAAAAACAAAATAAAAACTTTTAGATTTAGTGAAAAAAAAGCATATATGAGGAAGAGGAGACTGGAAGCTAGAGTCAGGCACCTGCTTCCCATTCACCCATTTATATAATCAAAGACCTTAAAACCACCTGGTCCAATACTTCATTTTTTAAAGTGAGAAAGCTGATGCCAAAGATCAAGATTAACAATTCACAACCTACAGTACTTTGCAGCTTCCCCTAAGGCATTCTTGCATTTCATTTTATCTCATACTTCTGAACCCATAGCTGCCCTACAACCTAACATTTTGTACAACGGACTTCAATGGTAGTGGCCCCAAAACTTCTATAGAAAGCAGCTATATGTAGAGTGGGAATTTGAATATAAGTCGTTTTAAATTCCAGTACTGCGTTAGATTTACATAGTATTTGCATGGTAACTCCAAAAGCAAAAAACAAACAAAAAACAGATATTCTCAATATTCACAAAATTGAGGCATATTTTTGTTTCTTTTACAGAGGATTAAAGAAATCTGGCTTCTGGTATATGCATTCCTCATATTAAATTGAGTTCTGCCTATAAATAAGTTAGGTCTGCTTTTTTAGAGATAAGGAAAGCTAAAGTTTAGTCTTTACAATTTGTTACACTAGAGTGAACTAAATTCAGCAGACAATTTAAAATTCAAGTCATAATTATTTTTTCCTGCATGTGCTTTAATAGTTATATACACCCAAACATAAATATTCAATTGGCATACACAATATAAGTGATCTAATTCATTTAAGAACCAAATGATATATATATATTTCAAAAATGCAATCAAGTACCAAACAGAAAAGTCACATGGTCAGCTTGATAACAACCTATTTTGTTCTAATATATATTTTAAAATTTTAAATCAGCCAAAGCTTAATGGTAAAAGTCTGATTTCAGTCGAAGTATAATAGTCATATAAAGGAGATACAGTACCAGCAATGTCTAAATCTCATCTTCACTTTTACCAGGGTTGTGTGTGAGTATAGCCAAAGGTCTTTGTAGGCATTCAAAAGGTTAAACACAGGGAGCTGAGGGTTTTAACTAACTAAAGCCAGTATTTCACATAGATCTAATAAAGCCAAGGTCACAACCTATTCCCACAGGGTCAAGCTACCTCTGAAAGGAGAAAAAAAAACTTTCCCCTTTACTCTGACATCGATTAGTACTGCCTTCTTTGAAAAAAAAAAAAAGAAAGAACAAAAACACTTTTATACCCTATTCTGTAGCTTTTATCGGCAGTTCACGAAAAATATAGAGTAACCCATCACTATTTATTTTTGAAGATTTTCTCTTATCTACTCGGTAGTTCAATACAAGAAAGAAAGAAAGAAAAAAAAATTCACAGAAAGCAGAAACAGAACTCAGTTTCTTGTTCTACCCAAATCTTATTATTTCCAGGTGTCAATACCCTGGTGGAGCGCGGACAGATAGGAATTCTACTTCTACTCCTCACTTACTTACACACACACACACACACACACACACACACAATTTTCTACTGAAGAGTCCAAGAACAGCAAAGAAAAGGACTAGCCAGAAAGTGGGGAGATGCTGGGGTGAGGCGAGGAGTTGTATAACCAGACCTTTAGTGGGAAAATAAAGAACTCTGGCTGAGCTGTAGTTGCTAGAAATAAGTTATCCGAGGCCTGTAAAGTCTCGCACTGGGTAAGAAGCCCAACAGGCTTCCCTTAACTGCAAATCAACGGCCTTTAAAGTGAGAGGGCTGGGAGCACAACAGCGGCCAGATTTCTAATTGTGTAAAGTTTAAACAATCTGTTCCTCGGGGAATGGGGGAGGGAGAGGAGGGCAAGTCTGGGCTCGGCCGAAGGAGCGCGCGGGTCTGCCCCGTGCCCGGCTGTCGGTCCCACGCGGGGAGGCACAGGGATTTTCGGCAGCAGCAGTGACTGCATCCAGCCCGGGGCCCCAGCCGCAGGACGCACCCGGACCCGGGGTCCGAGAAGGTGGAACGAGGAGGTGGACAGCCCAGACGAGAGGGTCTGCGCGAAGGGGCAGGAGTCGGGGACTCCGGGTGGAAGTTGAGGGCGGGCGGTACCGGGACGCCGGGGAGGGCGGCGGGCGGCTCGACTTACTCGGCTGTACCAGATGCTGAGGCGGGCCGAGGCCAGCACTGCGAAGAAAGTCCGCTGGGGGTCCGACTGAACGTGGAAAGGCGCCTCGGCGGGGCTCCCCAGAGGGCAGAGCAGCCTCTTGGGCCAGCCGCTCAGGAAATACATGGTCCGCGCGGAGCCGCCGACGCCGCGGCGCCCGGCGGCCCCCGGCCCCGTCCGTCACACTCAGCGGCCCGGGGCCGGACGCCCGCCTCCCACACCGCCACCGGCGGAGTCGGCGGCGGCGGCAGCGGCAGCTCGGGACATCTGCCCGCTGGCCGGGCCGGGCCAACGGGATGCTGGGCTACGAAGGCACCTCGGAGCTGACGGGGCCCAGTGTACGGGATGGGGGGAGGGAGTGTCGGGACTACGAGGGGGCGGGAGGAGCGCGGAGGCCCGCCCCGGCCCCGCCCCGTCCGCGGGCCGCACGGGCGTCACCACACCGCGCCGCGTGGGAAGGCTGTCGCGCGCGCGCGCACTGGAGCCTGCTCCCTTCCTCCAAGCTCTGCCCGCTGAAGCTCCGCCCTAATCTTCACGAGTGGCTTCCGCGCAGTGTCAGTACGCAAGCGGTTTTGCCCCCGTCTTGCTTTTCTGCACCTCCCACTCGCAATCTGGAGCAAATAGTCAGAGCCGGGGGCGGGGGCTGGTATAATCGCCTGAGACTCAAGGCAAGTGGGCAGAGCCAGGTGGGACGCGGCCGCCAGACGTCTTGGCCTGAGGTGCACGGCCCTCCCCTGGCCCAGCCAAATTTGACTTCCCTTGTGGATTGGTGAGGCCTCTGGTGAAGGCTAGGCCGGGGAAGGAGAGATGGGGGGTAGGGGGGCGGGGCGAGTCACGTGACTCTCCCTGCTCGCGTTCCCACCCTGGGCTCCTGGAAGAGGCCTCAGTGCTAGGCTGTTGGGTCCTTGGCCCAGTGATTCCTTATTGTGTGCCAAGGTCGGCCGTGAAAGCGGGCAGCGAAGTCCCTGCCCTCATGGAGTTTACATCCTAGAGGGGACCTTTATTCAGTCCGTAAATAAACCACCAACAATGAACGTGCCTGAGTCCTGTACTGTGCCCTTCAGGAGTTCTAAATCTAGTATATATTTTTTAATTCTTCTGTCCTTTTACCAGTCATAATGGTAGACAAGGTGAGACTCTGTCTTTTCTGCACCCTCAGTGGGGTATGTACCAGAAAAGACTTGGACTTCGTTTTAGACTTGGACTTGAGACATTCTGTAGTTAAGTGTTTTAACTTTTGGACCACAGGGATTACTTTAACAACTGTTTATTTCAAAGTATTGATTGCCCAGTGATTGCCTATTGAATAGGAGGACAGCATGAGTGGGAATGGAGTATGGAGTAGGAGTGGGGGACGGGTAGAATAAAAGATTGGCTTCTCATTCTGTATCTTTTTTGTACAGTTCCATATGTTTATATTACTTTTTTTCTTATCCTCACCCGAGGACATTTTTCCATTTTTTGTTCAGATAGAGTGGGAGGGAGAGAGAGGAAGAGAGAGAGAAACATCAGTGTGAAAGGGACACATCTAGTGGCTGCCACCTGCATGACCAACCAGGGCCGGGGACAAACTGCAATCGAGGTACGCGCCCTTAGCGGGAACTGAACCCGGGTCTCTCTGGACCGCAGGCTGATGCTCTAACGCTGAGCCAAACCTGCCAGGGCTATATTACTTTTCAATTGCAAATATTTGAGTTAAGCCTTAGCCACTTTGGCTCAGTAGTTAGAATATTGGCTTTGGACTGAAGGGTCTGGGGTTTGATTCTGGTTAAGGGCATGTGCCTGGGTTGCAGGTTCGATCCCTGCGCTGGTGGGTGTCATTCTAGAGGCAACCAATGGATATGTCTCTCTCACATCCATACTTCTCTCTCTCTCAATCCCTTCCTTCTACTCTCTCTAAAAATAAATGGAAAATATCCTCAGGTGAGGATTAACAACAACAACAAAAATACTTGAGTTAGCCCAGGTTAAAAACAAAAGTTGCCTGCCTGTCGTGGTTCAGTGGTTGAGCTTGGACCTATGCACCAAGAGGTCTCGGGTTTGATTCCCAGTCAGGGCTCATGCCCTGATTGTGGACTTGATCCTGGTTAGGGGGAGAGCAGGAGGCAGCTGATCTATGTTGATGCTTCTCTCATGGATGTTTCTGTCTTTCTCTCCCTCTCCCTTCCTCTCTCTCTCTCTCTAAAAAATCAATAAAAAACATTTTTTAAAAACTCAACTCACATAAAAAAGTAGCAACATAAACAGCAAAAAAAGTAACTTAGGCCCTGGCTGGTTTGGCTCAGTGGTTGGAGCGTCAGCCTGCAGACCAGAGAGTCCCAGGTTCAGTTTCCGCTAGGGGCACATACCAAAAAAAAAAAGTCCATATCAAATGTAGCATTGTAGTTGGTATTCATACCAAATATGTAACTTCCCATAATTTTTCTAAACATTCACTGCATTCCCCAGAAGTGATCAAAGAACCAGATTCCTCAAATCAAAGTTGAAACTGCCTCACCACTTGCCAGCCTTTTGTGGTCAGACTGTGTCTCCTTTCTGGTGTTATTTTTTCCTTTTTTTCCAACATCCAGCATAGCAGCCTGGAACATAGAAAGAATAGTAAACTGGAATAATTGTCAAATTAAATACTGGATGAAACCCTGATCCAGCTAAACTACACCATTAGAAAAATAGAGGCCCAGTTAGGTCTCCTGGCTTGCCAATATAAAATTGTAGAAGAATAACAGTTGCGTCATACTTTTTTCTAACTCAGATTCATTTATGCACTTGGCAGAAAGAGAGAAGAAATGAAAATAAGTTACATTGCAGCAATTCAATTCCACTGGCAATTTTACTGAGAGTATATTTGTCTCTGCTCTTGATCAGAGGTCTTTGTTCTCAAATTCCTGAGTGGGAGCATCTTTCTGTATTCCTACAGTTTAAGGATCTTCTGAGTAACTTGTTACACTCAGGTTTAACTTGATTTGCTTCGCTGACTTTAGAATTTAATTCCCCTGCTACATTCCTTTGTAACAGTTAAGGTTTACAAAATATTTTCAAATGTATGGCTTCATTTAGTTCCACAGTAAATCTTCAAAATGGGTATGATGTTATTCTCACTTTCTTAACAAGGAAGCAGGGCCAGAGTGGTGGAAGAGCCTGAAGTCACAGGGTTTGAAAAGAACTTGTCTTCCTTCTACAGACCCAATGATTTTTAAACGGATTGAAATAAATTGTAGTTGCCTCCTTCAGTGAGAGGGAGAGAGGAAGATCCTCTGGGCCTTTCTCCCTGTGGTGGGGTGGGGTGGTGGTGAGAGGGTGAAATATCTGACTCTACATGACCCCTTGATCCCTTACTTAAGAGTCCTCCCATTGTGGTAGAAACCTTATGGGATGGATTTTTCAACTTTCAAGTATCATGTTCCAACTTTATTTTGTAAAATCCATAAGCAATTCCAATGCCCTGTATCTTGCTTCTCCTTCCTCTACCCTATCAACATCTCTCTCTAGTCAAATTTATTGAACTCTGTTCTAAACTAAGACTAAGCTAATAAAAGAAAGTTAATAGGTGCATGTTTTCATCTAGCAAACTAACAGCCTTTTTTTTTTTTTAATTATAAGAACTAATGTTTGTAAGTGTACACAGAAACAGAGGTACATTTATAAACTTAGTGGGAATATAATTTGGTGCAATTTTTCTAAAGTATAGTTGACAATACATTTAACAAAAAGAGATGTTAGGTGATACCTCACTATTGTTTTAATTTGCATCTCTCTAATGATTAGTGATGTTGAGCATTTCTTCATATGTCTCTTAACCATTTGTATGTCCAGTTTGGAGAGATGTCTATTTAGTTCCTCTGCCCTTTTTTTTTTTTTTATCCTCACCCGAGGATATTTTTCGACATTTTGTTCAGATAGAGTGGGAGGGAGAGAGAGAGAGAGAAACATCTACGTGAAAGGGACACATCGAGTAGCCGCCACCCACACGACCCAACCAGGGCCGGGGGACAAACTGCAACTGAGGTATGTACCCCTAGTGGAAACTGAACCCAGGTCTCTCTGGACCGCAGGCTGACGCTCTAACCGCTGAGCCAAACCAGCCAGGGCCCTCTGCCCATTTTTTAATTGAGTTCTTTGTCTTCCTTTTGTTGAGCTGTATGAGCACTCTATATATTTTGGAAATTAACCCCTTATCTGATGTGTCACTGGCAATTATGCTCTCCCATAGAGTGGTTTGCCTTTCCATTTTGGTGGTTGTTTCTTTTGCTGTGCAGAAGCTTTTGAGTTTGATGTAGTCCCATGTGTTCATTTTCTCCTTTGTTTCTTTTGCCTTAGGTGAAGTATCAGTGAAAATTCTGCTGTGTTTGATGTCTGAAATTTTGTTGCCTACATGGCCGCCATCAACAAATCATCAAACAACAAGTGTTGGGGAGGGTGTGGAGAAAAGGGGACTCTAATACACTGCTGGTGGGAATGCAGACTGGTGCAGCCACTATGGAAAACACTACGGTGTTACCTCAAAAAATTAAAAATTGAACTTCCATTTGACCCAGTGATCCCACTTCTAGGAATATACCCTAAGAAGCCTGAAACACCAATCAGAAAGAATATGTGTACCCCCATGTTTGTAGCAGCACTATTCACAATAGCTAAGATCTGGAAACAGCCCAAATGTCCATCAGTAGACGAATGGATAAAAAAGCAGTGGCACATATACACAATGGAGTACTATGCAGCTGTAAGAAAGAAAGATCTCTTGTTAGTTGAGACGACATGGAGGGACCTGGAAAGTATTATCTTAAGCGAAACAAGCCAAACAGAGAAAGACAAGTATCATATGATCTTACTTATTTGTGGAATATAAGGAACATAACAGTCTGAGGAACGGTGTAGTCTCAGAGACGTAAAGTGGGGTACGGACTGACAGTCCCCAGAAGAGGGGGTGGTGGGGGAGAGATAAACTACAGAACTTATATGCATGTATGTATGAACACTGGACATAGACAACAAAGTTGGGGACAGGGCGGGGAGGGGGGTAGGAGGGTATCAGTGGGGAAAAGGAGACACATCTGTAACAAAAATAAATAAATTAATTATGTAAAAATATAAATAAGCCCTGGACGGTTTGGCTCAGCAGTTAGAGT